TTCTAAACTAGAACAGAAAAATCCTTTCAGTGTACAACTGTAGACTAAATTCAGTGTTATTACACTGCTCTTGAGAAGTAATTAGTTGAGAGGTTATTTTTGTCACCCCTGATTATGCTATCAAAGTGAACACTATAGTCTTAAATAAAGATAAGAGCACATCTTGAGAATTACTTACAGTTGATGACTTGAGTGGTTCTTCTAAGGCACAAGATAATGCTTGACAATGCACTGACATGGCAGGCGTTTAAGAAATACTGTTGATTTTCATGGCAAACAAATTCAGCTGTGTGTCTGGTAATTTATCAGAGCATATGCAAAAACAATAACAGCTTATTGATCTCTGCCGAGAAACAAAACAGATGCCATAAATCCAGCTCGCAGTGTAAACTGTGATTAGACCTGAAATTCAATGGGGTGAACCAGTGTAGTCAGGGTGACCCATGATTTTTAGTGCCTGCATATAGACTTCACACATCACTACATCTGCCTCACTTTTAGATTGAAGCATTTATGGGTGTGTATAGAAAAGACCTCTAACTCCCGTGTTTTATGTAACTCGTCATCCTCAAAGTTACTCTCCACTCATCATAGTTTTGACTTTTATTGCCGATGTAGGAAATAAACGTTCTTCTGAAAAAATATTATTACAGTGTTTTTAATAGACTGATTGCATTTGCATCGATGGGTTGTTTATTGCACTAGTTAGTTCAAGAAATAAATTGACAATCATGTAGCAAGTGACCAAAGCATGATATCAGATGTTAAAGCAAACACAAAAGCCCTACAGCCAAGTTTGTTGTCTTCTTAAACAAAAGGAAATGCAACAGCTGTCAAGAGGGCTCATCGTGCTGAGAGAGGACTTGTGCTGAAGAACTTGTGCTGAAGAACAAAGAGGACACAGTTGCATATACACATTTATTCCTTAGAGAACGATTAAAGATTTTGAAAAAAATTACACAGGCTATAAAAGTCTCTAAATAAGAAATTAACTCTAACAAAAGAATTACATGAATTACATTCTGACAACTCAATAGTGCACTTTAACAGTAATCTTAGTATATCTTGAAAAAAGATTTATGAGAATTCTTGTGGTTAGCGCTTAGCAGTAGCAGTTTAGCTCTTATAATAAAAGACACAATTACATTCTTTTGTGCGGCAAAAATGCATTTATATAAAGCCAAGTTATCTTTCTATGGTGTGTGAAAAACAAAGCAACAGATGATAATTGAGTTAAAACACTGAAATGAATGATAAACTACATCTATCTATCCATCTGTCTAAGCATCCACATATTCACCCATTCAAAGAAGATGTACATTGCTTAACACATTAATTAGTCCAGCTGTCACAAAAAAAAGAAGACACAAATATTTTAGAAAACTATAAAAAACTTATAAAAACATATATTGTTATTGTTATATATATCGGGAAAATAAGAAAATGAATTTACGTGTTTATGTAAGTAAAACTTTTTTTAAAAATTTGAATTGTGTGTGTGTGTGTGTGTGTGTGCGTGTGCGTGTGTGTGTGTGATTTTGAACCCAGCCCTTAGAATCCAGAGTTGATGATTTTGGTTCTCAACAAATTTCAAAATTAATCTAAGTGAAGATTTTCAACTTGAATATTTCATTGTTAAAGCTCCAGTCTGTGATTTAAGTGGTCCCGAAATAATCTGAACTGTATATTTATATACATATGTAGAATAACCAGCACATGTATGTATAAAAAACACACAGCTTTGATTAAAACAAAAGGCAAATTGAGATTTGCTGAGTCTTTGATTAGCTAGAATAGAACTGTATATTTACAGTGCATTATACTTATTTTGCAAGCAACATAACATTTATTAATCTATCTATGCATTGTCTTATTTCTGTTGGGGGACCTTCACTCTCAATAGATGCTGATCCTTATTGGGGCACTAGAGGGTGGTACAATACAAACTTTAAAGATCAAAAGTGCGAGCTATGGTTTTGTTTTCTGAGTAAGTCAGATTTTAATAAATTTACCATAAAACACTCACCCAATTTTTTTTTTACTAAAGATCAAATACTTATATCTCAGTTTTTAAAGGTTCACAAATACAGAAAAATAGCCTTTGTCCCACTTTGTTTACTGTGACATCACATTTTTGTCACTAGAATGAACACCAGCACAGATACTTTTCTTCATCTCCACTAGTTTTTCTCTCTACTCCTTGCACAGGAAGATGTAGAGAAGA